TCTCTTGCCCTGGGGGCAAAGTTGAGCTGCAACAGGATTCAGCCGTTCCCACGGAGACCAGAGAGACGGCGCTGCCATGGAAACGATGGATCGCTTGCTAGAGTGGAGAGGCTCTCTATCTCTCCGTCCCTCCTTCTTTCTTCACTTCTCCCTGCTCTTCTCCTCTAATAGTCTGGTGAGCACTCCACCTGTTGTCAGTCCTCCTTCCTCTCCCCTTTCTGCCTTTTCTTCCTGCCCACCTGTTTCTGTTCTCTTGTCCCCCCCAGATCATGCTTTTTTTCCACGACAGAAAACAGAAAAGTTGGGGCCGCTGTGGTTAGATGGCTCAGACAGCAGCCCCTCTCCCAGAGACGAGGCCAGGCTCTCTGCTCACACCTCCTACCTCACGGCTTCATCCAGTGGCTCCAAAGAGGCAAACATTTGAATCCAATCACCACGCTCAATTACTCTCTCTCAATGAATCCAGTAGCTGTGAGTAAAGGTGCAGGCAGAAGGGGGGTACGGTGGGGCAGGGCTTCTCAAGCACTGGGGAGAGGGGAACTGTCAGGAAACCTGTAAAGGATCTGATTTGTGGAGGAATTAAAGTATTAGATTGCGAAAGCGTCTCAAATGTTAAAGTGCTAAAGAGTGGTGAGAGCTGGTAGCAGGGAGAGGGCACCGGAGGCCTGGCACCTGTCACGTGTAATAAGGCTTACGGTCTTCATCAGGTTTTAGACCAGTTTGGGCCGCTTTGCTTCAAATTCAGACCAAAACAGAAATGCCAACCTAAAATGTGTTAAGTGGACTTCTGCTCTGGTTCTGACTACAGGGAGGGCTGTTGGACATGGCTTGAGTCTTATTGGATAAACTCAGAACAAAGGCTATTTACACAAAACCAGCATGACTCTTAAAAAACCACCAGCAACAATAATCCTGATTAGCAATAAAATGATCAGTCTCTGATGGACAACAAGATTAATGTCAATGACAAAAATACAGACGTGGGTTTTTTCCAGGAAAAACTACAAAGTTGTCATTGTACTGGGTCGGTATCATTTTATCATTTCGTGGAGAATTCTCCTTCAGTCTTACTGTGCAAATGAGTTTTGAATTTTTTTTATTCTTGGGGTTTGTTCAGATGCTCCTTCTATAACAGCCACTCAGAAGGTTGCTCCACACAATAGCATTTCAGGTCCCTGATGTAAGCCTACAAAGTGCTAAAGGGGACCACTCCCATCGACTTGAATACAATCGCAAAGGCTTATGTCACCACTGGGTGACCCCGGTCATCGATGGATTGTGGTCCAGCAGAGCTTACACCATGCTTAAGACCATCCAGACTCTTTGGAATGACCCATCCAGCTGTAGGAGAACGGCCCTGTCCATCTTCAAGAACCTGTTGAAGACACAGCTCCTCAGAGAGCATCTCCTCCCGTAACCCTGACCCTGTACCCCCCCACCCCCCCCTCCACCACTCTCTCTGTACTCCCTCTACCTCTACACCCTCCCCACTGCTGCTCTAACAGAGTCTGAGTCTCCAGCCCCTAGCTTCCTGTCAGAGGAATGTTGCTCCTGCATTGGAAGTCCATTTGGATAAAAGATTCTGCTCAGTGCAGACACACACGCTAAACAAACAACAAAATCGGAACAATTGAACTGCGGTTAGCGGTCGATGGAGAGTCTGACCCTAACCGTATCACATCGCTATCACTGAGACGCCCAAAACCAGAAGGAAAAGAAAAAGAGGAAGACAGAAAAAAGTTGCAGGGTATTATTGCAACTATTATGGTGACAAAATAGAGCTGACATTTATCGAGCCATCACAGATTATGGCGATAAAGATGACACACAGGTCCTAAACGCAGAAGCCTTCTGTTGACATTATTTGATCACACCCCCCCACCCCACCTTCATACTGACACTTAATTTAGCTTTGGGGGTTTTCTGCTTTTTCTAAATACAGATGCACTATATGTAAAAGCTGCTCTCTTCCTGTGCCATCCCTATCTAACATGACTTACTTTTCTCCTCTTACCCATCAGTCCTTTTGCAACCTGAGGGACTGGAGGTGTGACACACACACACTTGAACTTCACACTTGTAAGGTTTGTTTTAAAGGAGGTTTCAGTGAAAATGCACACAACTGTAGGAGTCAGGAATTATTGATTATTTATATGTCTGTCAGAGACTCTCAGCCTCACACTCAGCGCGTTTGCAGATGTGTGTGTGTGTGTGGGGGGGGGTCTCTAAGTCCAGGACCGATAAAGGAGATAGAAAGTAGTTGTTGGTCAGAGAGTTTGAGCTCAATCTCAAAGCACAAGTGTTCAACTGTGCCTGAAGCCAACTCTATATGTAGTTTCTCACTGGGAGTTATGCGTCCTGACAAGCCCTGTAAACGCGACATGTGGTCTTCACACACACACAAACACTCAGGTGTTGCTGAAAAGGTCGACTCTCTCCATGCCAGTTTCCATCCATCAAGCCTGAGGCGCTTTGCTCTCTCAAATCCTCCCCTTCCTGCATCGATACAGTACAGAAGTCCGGTGGGTTTTTCCTCCCTCACTAAGTCACCTTCATCTACATCACCGGGCTTTTGTTTGGGTTTTTGACATGCCCAATCATCGCCAATATCCAAGCCTCCACCGAGGCTCACTGAACTCTTGGAATTTTACATTTTCAGTCCCTGACAAGTATCCACTCATCTGGGGCATGATTTGGCCACAAAAGCCACATTTTTACTAGAATAATGATATTGCTGAGATTTTGGAGAGAAAAATTATCGTACATCTTTCAAAAACTGATTTAAAAGTCAATGAAACCTCAATGGCCATTTCATAAAATTCCTTCAAAGCAACTCTAAGCCCGAGCCCAATTGTTATTAACTTGTCAATAATTATGAACTTGGTCAGTAACTTTGACTTGTGATAATTACTGTACTGCCTGTGACTAGGAACATGCTCCCGGCTTTGAAAGTAGATTGTCTTTACCATCCTCTGAAGGAGACAGAATTATGTTGGCGAGTTCCATATTAACAGCCGTGGCGTCACATGCTGTACGTGGCAACAGCTAGCTTATCATACCTTACACCTGGCTCAGTATAAGTACCTTCAAATGACACCACAAAAAGAATCCATTCACCGACTTAAAGAAAAAAGCAAGTGTATGTAATTATCAATATGAATTCTGTTTCTGTGGCTTTGACTTCACGTGTATTTGTGATTAAAAGTCAACCCATTAAGACACCATGTCAACTTGCTCTGTCTTCAAGCCTCTCCAAATCGCTTTTGTCTAATCAAATCCTCATTTTGTAACCTAACCCTAACCTTAACATTTAAGTAACTCAAAAACGATGTTTTTGCCGCGAATTTGCCTCAACGTCCAAGCATGAGGATGCGCCAAGGAAAAAGTTAAACACTTCAGAATTCATTGAGGCCATTCCACTCGATGCCACGCGTACGTGTAAAAGGATGGCTGAGTGGCTCTGCACTCGTGGCTCTGCCTGGTTTTACTGAGAGCCAGAGCACATCCCTATGAGTCCGTCCCCAGAGCAGCACACACAGAAAGGCCTGGCTGTGGAGCCATGTTAGCCTCGGTCATCATTATGCCGTATGTCTGAGAGCAAAAAGCTGCAGCTGTAGCATACAGTTTTATTTTAAATGTGTATCCTTAGCCACACGTCACTGAGGAAGTCTAGTCAGTTTATCTTTAGCTTCAATCATGCACGTGGCATGAAAGAGCGAACGACAAAGAGTCTTAAAATGTAAGAAACTGGTTTCGAATTTGATAGCCGTCTCAAAAAAAGACTATCTTGTGGGTAAAAGTAAAATAGCTAATAAATGTGTCGATTAAAGTCCCAGTTTTAGCATTTTCTCAGGAGGCAATGCACACTGGTGCATGCAAATGACACACACTCTTTAAAGCGTGCTACAGACCCTGGTGCAGCCCGCTGTGGTTTTCCATCGCACACAGCAATAACTACACATACACAACTACACAATAACTACACATACTAACCCCAACCCTATACAGCACAGAGCAGGACGGCACAAATGCCGACACATGCCACGGCCTCCTGCCAGGCGTCTAAATAAAAATCCGCCGATCACACCGGATATGCATCACCGGTTGCCATGGCCACGGGGAAATATTCTTCAGAGTTGCCAGGGCAACAGCTTGGGGAACTCTTTGCCAGCCTGTCACTCGTCTTGGGAAAAAGAAGGGAGGATGAATGATGATTATTATATCTGTGTTTTCTTTGCTGCGTGTGGGGGGGGGTGGGGGGGGGGGGGGGGGGGGGGGGGGGTCCTGGTGGAAGGATCTGAATGACGGTGATGAGTAGAAGAGTTTAGGTGAATGGATGGGTCAACGGAAAAGCAATAAAGACTTTAAAAAAAGAGGAGTGAGGAGCTTGTAAGAAATCCGAGGGACTTTTTAGTGTTGGTTTTCCGGACCGGACTCATGCTGGACCACACCTCTGTTTTAGGATCTGATCTTTGGAGATTGCGTGCGCACGTGTGTGCACACAATGACAGAAGAATGGCAGATCAGTTGTTTATGTAGGTGATATGTGCATCAAACCAACAGCCAAAAGTCTCAAAGTGGCGTGGCCGGGTGAGGGGAGGGAAAGTGGGATCCAGTTGCCATGGCGATACAATTAGCTTTCAGTCTGAGTGCTCCTGTCCTGGCTGCTGTCAACATTAAATACTACCTGCATGGTAAACATGGATGAAAGAGGCAGTGCAGTCATTCCAGCAGGAGGTGTTTCTGTCTGTGACGTGTGCTGGCGTCTGTATTCAGACCGCCATTTCTTTTCCATCCGCTGCTTTTTTACTCCTTCCCTGTTTGTCTTTTTCTTTTTGTTCCTCCTGCCCTATATTCATGCTCTAATCTGGTCCCGACTTCTTGTCTGACTCCCGTAATCTTGTCAGGACAGATGGCCCACGCAGACACAGACACACACCAGCTCTGATACACGTTCACACGCAGTGGCAATTTCAGTGACCCAAATCAGTCTGAAACTCATGTTGCGTCACGTTTCTCGCCATCCTACCTCCTGGCAGCGTGTGGTGGGCCTCCAGTCCCTCCTGTCCACTACAGCTGCTGGCCGGTGGCCGGCTCTGAGCCACAGGTCAGCAGATCAATGCAAAGTTTTGTCCTTTGCTATTCTGATGAAACACATGGGAATTGTTGGCTCAAGACAGGTTTTTTTTGTTTGAGTACAGAAACATACAGTCACTTACGTCTCATAACTGCCGTAATTAATCTGCTACCTCCAAATGGAACATTTGAATGTTTTTGCAAAAGAACTGGAAAAATGCTCGCATTTAATCCCTTCATATTTGCCTTGAATCTGACTCTGCCTTTTCCCACTTATTTGGTAAATAGTGAGCAATGAATGTGCAAAACTAACCTATCTACGCCTCCAATGGCTGGCAGCAGACACAAACCTTTCTGTCTCTGCAGAGCAATGGGCACCCCGTAATCAGCCAACCACCGATGGCCAGGGAGTCACTAAACCCTTTACAAGAACTGCCTAAAGCTAGTCTTCATCACAGATTTAGCAGAATAAAGAAGAATCTTAACACATTACAGTCCCAGGAGCAAATTTCTAATAAATCCTCTGCACAGAATCAGAATCAGAAATACTTTAATAATCCCAGAGGGAAATTATTAAAGTATTTCTGATTCTGATTTCTGAAGGGAGAAGCTCCATCATTCCAGGTTCCAGTGGACAGACTGAGCCAAGTTCAGAAAAATGTGCTGCATGCCAGTGGTCACTCTTCCCTCAAAACTATGGCTTTCCAAACATGAAAGAATCAGAAACTGAGGGTCGAGGAAATGTTGAAAACATTCTTTCTTTTGTCAGTCCTGGGACACACACACACACACACACACACACACATTCAGTCCCATCCATCGAAGTGAGTTGTTACCCATTTATCATCTGTGTCTTCAGTGTTTTCATGCTTTTTATGTAAGCAAAAAGAAACCTGGATAGAAAGAGACTTTAAACAGCCAACTGAATCTGGATAAAAAAAAAGATAAATCTAATGGCTGATGATTAGCTTTGTAGCTATACAGCCCAGAGAGAGCCAGTCGATCTGTGGACCATTCCTGAGTCCTCTGGTGCTTTCCTAATCAACCAATCCTTTTGGTACACTCAGAACGGGATCCCATGAACGAACAGTAGCAAATTCAGCACATGATTTTGGGATATATTCCAAATGAACGACTGGGCAGCCTTTGCTTTTCGGGCTTCTTTTCCCTCAGAGCCGGCTCCACTTGGTCTCTGCCTAACACCCTGAAACAAGGCAAACCAAAGGTTAGTGTCTCAGAACCAGAGAAAAATGAGACCACAGGACGGCCATTGTCATGCTCTGTGGGAAATGAGGATCTCTCAATAAACAGACAGTAAACAGTACACTTTTCTGTGAAGGGCAACCACCACTGAGTTGAGGTGAGTTTGGATTATAGGTTTCTAGGACTGAAAGTTCTCACTAATCTGAGAGACAGCTCGCGGGGGGGTGTCTTTGGTGGCAGCTTTTTTACAACCCCTCCCCCAGCCTCAACAGTGCAACAGGTAGCAGGTCAGGATCACCAGGTGCAAAACTCTTCCTTCATCAGGATGCTGTCGCTCTCCTGTTCATTTGCCTTGTTTGTTTCCATACCGCTTTTCAGTAACCAACGGTTATCAACTTGTAAATGTTTACCACATGGAATAAAGATGAGGTTGACATTTAGGACTGATTTCGACCAACAGCACAGAGTACCTAATCAACCAGGGTTTTTTCAAAGGGCTAAAAGCATAATTTAAACCCCAGGTCTTTTGCATTTCCAATGAGATTTGAAGTAGGTGGTAAATTAGGCCTCCTAATTACAGTGGAGTGTGCGGCTCATCTCCGGCTGCCCTACCTGATATTTGAAACAGTCAAACCTTTGTCATTATGCCTGAATGGAGCAAAATGTCTCCCAGTCTTATAGTCTTGTACTCTGTACACCTTCCTGGGGATTTGGGTGATTTATTTGTACTGCCGTGCGAGGAGCCGCATTTCCATTCCAGGACCCTGATTTCTTGTCTCAGTCTGAGCTCTTTTTCCTCATTCATTCTGGAGCTCCACTCATTAAGATCTGAGTTCAACTGTCAAAACAAGTTGCTTCAACCTAGTTAAGAGATTTTATAAACAGCTGCGGATATTAAGGACCAGTGACTTGAGGCAGAAAAACGGAACAATGCTGTGACAACTTGATCAATCAAGGTAGTTTCAAAGACATGTATGGAGCACATTTGGGGCTAAAATGAGCTGTTTTGACACTTGTTTCTTTGATTCGAATGAAAGGGGGTAAGAAAAAGTCTACCCATAGTTCACAGAAAGGGTTGTCACCTTCAAACCCCCTGTTTGAAGGTAAGATTATGTCTGGGGTTATTTTCCAGGAGGTTTTGGATCTATCAAAGCGAAGAAGTCAGCTTTATGTTGTGGTTTGTCACCGGAGCACACAACTCGCTGATATTTTGTTGTATTAGAGTAGGAGGATTACGTTCTGATTAGGCTGAAGTTACTGCATGAAATTCACACATTAGTCTCTTGTGATGTCTCTTTACTCTTTTGTCAAATCTACTAGATTTGGGGTGGGTGGGCGGGGGGTAGTTGCTGAGGCCTCTTCATCTTAACCGTGTAGCAGGGATAGTCCTTGTCTCACATTTGAACATTTCAAAGTTTCAGCTTCCATTTGGGATGATCTTTCTTTTTTCCCCTCAAAACTAATGTGAATAGTTGAAGGGCAGCACATTCAATTGATTTGTTTTTCAGAATGTTGTTAGAATTTTAATTAAGTCTCGTACTGAAAAACAGTGAAAAGAACAGTGAGGGGATATGGCCGAGCACTTGCACAAGCATTTACCGTGTCAAGTTTGTCTTCATCTGCAGAGCTGCTGGCATCAAACCCCCCCACCATCAAAGACACACAACCAAAGCATAAGCAGCTGAGAGCCAGTCATGTTACCGTGACAACAGGCCCTTGATGGCATCAATATGTCCTGGTCTAGTTTTACCTTTAATCAAAAAATCTAAGACATTAACTTTCATCCACTAAACTTTCTCACTAAAATCTGGTCTACTGCAAAAGCAAAAGACGGGAAATATTCATGGCTCTAAATGTGGAAGGGAACCTTGTTGTGGACAGGAAGATGGGAGTCTTTTAAGTTCACGTGTAGCTCTCATTTGCTGAAAACTCATCAGACTGCTTCAGAACGAAGCCATTTTAAGGGAGATGGTGTCAGTGGGGAGGACGTGAGTGTGCCGTTCCTCTGTTGGGAAAGAGGCAAACTTTCAAGTGGAAAAGTTCTATCTCAGCGATGGATGAACAGGATAAACCACGACTATGACAAGAAGCTGTTAGTAAACTCACTGAAAGTAGTTTTGAGTATCTTCAGCAACCTTGGTTGAGTAGGGTGGGTCTAAATCAGGAACACGATCTTCAAAACTGTCAACTGTAAAGATAATCAAAACTTCTCATCATTCTGAAATTTCCCAACAGTTTTGTGCAGATTAGTGAATTTGTGTTTTACCTCCTGGAGACTCTGCCTCTCTAAGGTGCTGTTTTTATGCCCCATCAGGTTAAAAACTGTTGCCATTAACTTAATTAGTCAAGACCCTTTGCTCTTCCAGCCTTTTTTCCACCCCTGCCCCAAATTTCTTTATGACCAATACATTCAAGATCATTTTTTACGCTGAATATTGAGTATTAAAATTTCCAGATCCATGTTGTTTTCCATGTTCTACTGTGAATTAAATACATTTTTTTTAGATGTGTAAATCATTGCACCCTGCTTTTGTTTAAATATTGACTCTGTCCCAAGATTTTAGCGCTATAAATCATCCAAGATTGTTCTAAAGTAAGCAGTTAAAAAATTTGGGCTCCAATTTTTAACGCATTCATATTATTACCCCAAAACTAAATATTACAGTGCGTAAGGGCTAGAATAATCTCAGTGTTCTCCTGATGTGTGACAACAAAACATTTTCACACCTGCTTCAACTGACAATGGCAGGATGAACACCATGAAAACCATCCATAAAAGGAGGATAACAGGCAGAAACCCAGCGGTGGCGTTTCTTCACGGGCTGATATACATCACATTAGTCCATCTCGGCACCCCCTCCCCCAAAGAAATCTTTCACTTTCTGTCTCTTACACACACGAAGCAACGACAGAACTACAGACGCACTCATGAGTGTTTTTTTATGTGCTAAAAGAGAAAGAATTCAGCATAGTGACAAATATTGTAGAGTCAGTGGTGAGAGATGTTCCTACAATCTGATGAATAACAGAGGAGACAGACAGCATAAACGGGCGTATTTTGGGAAGATGGATGATGTAGAGAGTAGGAAACCGAGGAGGAGAGATAGAAGAGCATGTAGACAGGCAGCAACAGGGAGAGAGTGGTGGGGGTGAGTTCATATTGGGGAGGGGGGCGGTGGTAGTGGATGGTGGGAGACTAGGGTACATGACGTTTGTTTCCATGGTGATGGTTTCTCTGTCTCCCACACGTAGGGAGATGGTGCTTTAATGTGTTTTGTGTGTGTGTGTGTGTGTGTGTGTGTGTGCGTGCATTGGTATTCTTTTTCTAATAAATAACTAAGCTCTTGTTGGAGTAGGGGCCATTTTATGGATACTACAGTAAAAGAGGGCAGCTGGGAATGATCCCAGGTTGCAGTCAGAATGGCTGGCAGGGCTCGGCTCTGCCCGTGCTGGGCTGGGGAAGTGAGAGCCACTCATTTTCAGAAACCAGACAGCACACAATCCAAGGTACAGAATACGGGCTGAATCCAAATAAGGGAAAATTTGGGGCAGTTTCACTGGGGATTGGATCAGCTTTTCTCATTCTTTTACTTTTGAATGTTAATAACCCTCACTGAAATGGTTTTCCCAGTTTATAGATCCATAGACTGTCAGTCATACTGTAAATGTTTGTTGACGAATGCAACCTTTCAACAACACTAAAAACCTGAAGATTTGATAGAAAGCCATTTGTTCAAAGGCAGCTTGTATAATGAGACACGCTCCAGTAGCAGCCAGCTCGCTCCAGGGTGTCAGATCAATTCCATTCAACCGGTCTATTTTGCACCT